GACTGGTTGCCAAAGGCTTCACTCAACGTGAAGGTATTGATTATGAGGATACATTCTCACCAGTTGCAATACTTAAATCTATTCGCATTCTTTTGGCCATTAGTGCTTATTATGACTATGAGATATGGCAGATGAATGTTAAGACGGCATTTTTAAATGGCCATCTTGAACAAGACATCTACATGAGGCAACCAGACGGTTTCGTGGTTAAAGGTCGTGAGGACTGTGTATGTAAGTTGAATTGGTCTATTTATGGACTTAAGCAAGCTTCACGCACATGGAACATTTGTTTTGATCAGGCAGTCAAATTATTTGGCTTTGAACAAAACGTGTTTGAACTTGTGTTTACAAGAAAAAATAGGGTAATGTCATCATGATTCTCGTTTTATATGTTGAGGACATCTTACTCATTGGTAATGATGTAGAAGCATTGTCATCAGTTAAAAGGTGGTTGTTCAATAAATTTGAGATAAAAGATCTTAGAGAAGCAAGTTATATTCTTGGGATCAAGCTTATGCGAGATCGGGTTAAAAAGAAAATAGGCTTGTCTCAAGAGTCTTACATTGACAAAGTTCTGATCAGGTTTGGAATGGAAAACTCTAAGAAAGGGTTTTTGCCATTTAGACATGGGTTGGCTCTTTTTAATGACCAGTCTCCCAAGACTGATAAGGAAATTAAGCAAATAAGGCGGGTACCATATGCTTCGGCAGTTGGTAGTCTCATGTATGCCATGGTCTGTACCAGACCGGACATCTGCTACTTTGTAGGGATTGTCAGTAGATATCAGTCCAATCCTGGACTTGATCATTGGTCAGCTGTGAAGTATATCTTAAAATACCTTAGAAGAACTAAGAATCTAATGCTCATTTATGGAGGTGATGATCTGGTTCCAGTCGGATATACGGATTCTGATTTTCAATCAGATCCAGATGCCAGGAGATCTACATCTGGATATGTGTTTAAGTTCAATGGAGGGGCAGTTAGTTGGAAGAGTGTCAAGCAGGGTTGTACTGCTGACTCAACCATGGAAGCAGAATACATTGCAGCCTTTGAGGCAGCAAAAGAAGCTATTTGGTTGAGAAACTTTCTAATTGAACTGGAGGTTGTGGAGCACATAGATCAGCCTATGACGCTTCATTGCGACAATAGTGCAACTATAGCACAAACCAAGGACCCAAAATTTCATAAAGGAACAAGACATATTCAGAGGAAACATCATGTGGTTCGTGATATAGTAAAGCGAGGAGATATACTTGTGGCCAAGATTGCATCAGAACATAACCTTGCTGATCCATTCACAAAGGCTTTACCGATCAAGATGTTTGATCGTCATATGGAGAACATGGGAGTTAGATGTGATTCGAATTGGCTATAAGTGCAAGTGGGAGCTGTTAGGATATGTGTGCCCTAGCATAGCAAATTCTAATTTTGGATTGTAAAACTCATGGTTTCTTATCTGGATATTATTATTAAAGCATTATACAATTGGTGAATGAAATGTATTATTTTTCGATTCATTATGGAATTGATTGTGTCCACTTGATTACAAAATATATTTATATATGTATGTAATGGAAATTAATGCTATGTTATAAATTAGTAATCATAAATGGTTTAAAGTCGGTAATTATGGATGGACATTTAATTAGTTAAGACTTAAACCAAGTCCACGATAGATTGAGATATATTGCGAGAGCTGTCGTATGCAATTGCTCTCTATCACAGTCATGGCTTTTGACTCTCAAGTATGAGAGAAGTATAGACTCTTTTATTAATTAATAATTACTTTGATTTGTTCGGCGGATACCTCGGGATCCTTAAATCGACACTTTGGGTAGTTATGTAATTAATAATTAGAGGTCTATATTCTCAATATTTGCATCAGTGCTATTTGTATTTATTTTGTTTTGATTATGGTTGATCACAAATTAAATTCGAAGGCCTTCGTATGTTTTAGACAAATGTTTTCCATATATATTTATTTAATAAATTATTATTATTTTTTGTCAAATAAATATTTTATTGTGATCGAGCCGGAAATAATCAAAGGTAACAAAATAATTATATTAATTATGTTGTCGGATTACTGGCTTTAATTATCCGATAAATAATTAAGCATAGAGGGGTCAAAGTGCAACATTGACGTAGAGGTTATTTACTATTTAATTGGAGTGCAATTAATTTCTTTTAGTGGAGTAGAAATTAATTTATGAATTAATTGAATTGGATCCATGGTTTAATGGACCGGACCAATTATTAATTTATAGGAGCCAAGAAAATAGTAAGCCCAAAAGGATTCTTACCAATAGCCCAAGTTGATATTGGAGTCATGTTAGAATTGAGAAAGTTGAATTAGAGATAGAGAATGATTTATTATTCCTTATTCTTATTTTTATTTTGCCTATATATACATGAGATCATGTATATTTTAGGGGTGACTTTTAGAACAAGAAAAAGGAATACACTTTCTCTCTCTAGATTTTAGGGTTTTGTTTTATCTTCTAAAGGAGGCTACCATCAACCTAGATTCCAAGGTCATTCATCAAGGCATATTGGTGATTCCTAAAGGGAAGATAATAATCAAAAAGAAGGAGAAAGGATCTTGCTAAAGGGATCTACAATAAGTGAGAACATTCACTTTAGAGGAAAGTTCAAAAGGTTTACTCAGACCTTTGATGTAAGTATTCAATCTGTTTATTGAATTATACATCATCTTTTATTTATCTTTGCATAAAACTTGTCTCTATGTAATGAATCAAGATCTATGATTGCAAATCCCTCAAAAAGTTTTAAAAACTTGCACGTTTCCCAAAGAGAATAGCAATAAGGAAATAGCATTGGTAGAGAGGAAAAATGACATATGTTGCTTTTGTTATGATAGGGTACTATGAGACCCAATCAGAATAACAATGAGGAAATAGCATTGGTAGAGAAAGACATATGTTAGCTTTTGGAGCAAAGAATCAGAAAAGATTTGAAATTAGAAAAAATTTAGTTCAATGTATAAATTAATTTCAATTCCAAATTTAAGGCACCCATACAGTGCTCCCAAACATGGGAACAAGTAATACATTATAGGAAATGGAAATTTGTTGTCACAAATAAGAGCATTTTATGACACTAAAGAAAATTGTCACAAATGGATTATTTTAATTGTGACGGAATAGAAAGTTGTCACTAAAACTATATATATATATATATATATATATATATATATATATATATATATATATATATATTTTGTGACGGTAATTTTTTAATCCTTCACAATATAGAATCCGCGATGCAATTTAAGGTGACGGTCATGTGATGACCTATTTTCATAAGTAGAACTTTTTAGTGACGTGATATTGAGTATTAATGACTCTTTTTCCGTCACAAATGCTCTAATTTGTTGTAGCGTACCATTAGAGTGGAAAAATTCTGTAATCACAGTATAGAGATGGTAAAATAAATAAGAGTACTTGAGAAAAGCATGTACTTTAAATATGTCTTGTATTTTTACACACAACACTACAAATACATTGCCTAGAATGTGATACTACGGTTAACCACTTAAAATTTCAATCTAAATGGCCCGCACATTAACATCTGAAGGGCTAAAACAAATGATCATCAAACACTCATTGAGTCATTGGTGAAACCACAATAGGACTCCTCACTGTGTGATTTCCATTCTCTTCAACCCAAAAAAGTGGTTCGACTGTGCCATTCTTTTCTTTCATGTACTTTATTGTCAGTTTGTAGCTTTGCTACTCATACTTCTTAACAAAACTGATTTCCTCCGTCCAGACAAAGATGGTGAAATGCTCGGGTGCTGTAACCTCAACCTTGTAAATTGTCGGTCCATCCCCAACATTTGTCATAATCCTCTGAAATGTTCGAGTGATCATTGTTGTTTTGTTGGTGTACAAAACAATAAATAATCGATAATTCCGATCGTCAGAAGGGTTGGAGCAATTGTAACTTCTTGATCTAACAATGGTTAAGATTTGTGTGCTTGTGAAATTTATGGAGCAGTGTTGATTCACATATTCTTGTGGAGTGGCATCATATATAAGACTGGAGTCAAGTGCCTTGTTTGGATCAACCTGCCTTGCCCCCATTGCTAAAGGTGAGGCTATTTGGAGGTGCTAACCAAGAATATGATTCAGAGTGTTATATAGTGGATTCGTCGTGGTTATCATGGCGGACCTTATAGCAGTCGGACTCCATTTTGCATGTGCACCTTTGAGGAGACTAGCCATACCAGAAGCATGAGGACAAGTCATGGATGTCCCAGACCGAAAATTATAATCACTAGACAAATCGAAATTGAGACCAATTGAGGCTGCAATTTTATTGGGAGGCCAAGCTGCTACGACTAGTGGCCCTGGCGCCATTAAATCCGGCTGTAAGATGCCTGGACAGCTCTGTGTAGGACCCCTTGAAGTGTAGGAAACAACAACAGGTACAGGCTTTGTCCCCAAAATAGTTTGTTGGAACTTTATGCTTGTCGTAGGCTTCTTAGACCTCTTAGCATGGTTGACCACTACCTCTGCAGCTTTTGAGCCAATCACAACTCCTGGATAAGAATTCTTCCACCTCGGCTAACCGTGGATCATCGCAGATAAAGATGGCTGAGGTCGTCTAAGGTGCAATGTGACACAGATTTTGCAGTGTCCACATCACATACTAGGATGCCATCATAAGGGGGATTAAACCACCACCCACTTGAATTGCAATGTGACAGTGTTTTGTTGTAAATGAGAGACTGTTCATTAACCAAGGCACTTGCATGGTCCATCTAGTGATGGTTGGCCTATTGCCAAGAGTCACAGTATCGGCTAAAGAATGGTCAATTGAACTGGCACCGACGGTAAGGACCCAGGGGATTCTACTGTATAATGACCCAAGTGAAGGGCCACTATTTCCTGCTGTAATAGATACACACACACCCTTCTCCATGGCTCCATATGAAGATATGGCGAAAGGGAAGAACACCCTCAATACCGATCGAAATGGACCCTTTCGCCATATCTTCATATGCAGCCATGAAGAAGGGTGTCTGTATGTCTATTACAGCAGGAAATAGCGGCCCCTCACTTGGGTCATTATACAATAGAATCCCCTGGGTCCTGACCGTCGGTGCCAGTTCAATTTACCATTCTTTAGCTGGGACTGTGACTCTTGGCAATGGGTCAACCATCACTGGATGGACTATGTTCCCTGCAAGTGCCTTGGTTCATGAACAGCTTCTCATTTACAACAAGACACTGTCACATTGCAATTCAAGTGGGTGGTTGTCTAATCCCCCTTATGATGGCATCCTAGTATGTGATGTGGGAATTGTAAAATCTTTCCGTCACATTGCGCCTTTGACGACCTCAGCCATCTTTATCTGCAATGATCCACAATTAGCCGAGGTGGAAGAATTTTCTTATCCAAGAGTTGTGATTGGCTCAAAGGTTATAGAAGTAGTGATCAACTATGCCAAGAGGTCTAAGAAGCCTATGGCAAGCATAAAGTTCCAATAAACCATTTTGGGGACAAAGCCTGCACCTGTTGTTGCTTTCCACACTTCAGGGGGTCCTGCACAAAGCTCTCTGGGCATCCTAAAGCAGAATTTAATGGCGCCAAGGCCACTAGTCTTAGCGGCTTGGTCTCAATTTCGATTTGTCTAGTGATTATAATTTTCGCTTAGGGAGATCCATGGCTTGTCCTCACGCTTCTGGCATAGCTGCTCTCCTCAAAGTTGTGCATCCAAAATGGAGTCCGGCTGCTATAAGGTCCGCCATGATAACCACGACGAATCCACTATATAACACTCTGAATCATATTTGAGACCTTGGTCAGCACCTCCAAATAGCCTCACCTCTAGCAAATGGGGGCAGGGCAGGGCAGGTTAATCCAAACAAGGCACTTGACTCTGATCTTATATATGATACCACTCCACATGGACATGTGAATCTCCTCTGCTCCATGAATTTCACAAGCACACAAATCTTAACCATCGTCAAATCAAGAAGTTATAATTACTCAAACCCTTCTGACGATCTGAATTATCCATCATTTATTGTTTTGTACACCAACAAAACAACAATGATCTCTCGAACATTTCAGAGGGCTGTGACAAGTGTTGGGGATGGACCGACAATTTACAAGGCTGAGGTTACAACATCCGAGCATTCCACCATCTTTGTCTGGCCGGAGGAAATCAGTTTTGTTAAGAAGTATGAGAAGCAGAGCTACAATATGACAATCAAGTACATAAAGGAAAAGAATGGCACAGTCGAATATGGCTCGCTTGTTTAGGTTGAAGAGAATGGAAATCACAGAGTGAGGAGTCCTATTGTGGTTTCACCATTGAGCACTATCTGATGATCATTTGTTTTAGTCCATCAGATGTTAATGTGCGGGCCATTTAGATTGAAATTTTAAGTGGTTAACCAAAGTATCACATTCTAGGCAATGTATTTGTAGTGTTGTCTGTTAAAATACAAGACATGTTTAAAATACATGCTTTTCTCAAGAACTCTTAAATATTTTACCATCTCTATACTATGATTACAAAATTTTCTTACTCTATTGGTAAGCTACAACAAATTGAGCATTTGTGACTGAAAAAGTATCTTTAATATTCAATATTACGTTACTAAAAAAATCTACCTACTAAAATAGGTCATCACATTACCCGTCACCTTAAACTTACGTAGCAAGTTCCAATTGAGAGCAAATAGTGGGAAAGAGCACCAGGAGGGGAAATTAGAATCATCGATATATAACAATTGAAATGGACGCAAAAGCACATAAACACTATGAAATTACAAATGCATTGCAACAGTTTTTTTTGGGTTATAGAGGCAGTTATAACAGCCACCTAAATTTTAGCGTCTAAAACACTACTAACTGCTATATAGAGAATTAAATGTCTAGTCCAAACAACTAACATCTTTTTTCACAAGAATTCCAAAATAAAGAGAGCAAAAAAATGAAGCATCAAGTCTTGGGTGCAAACAATTCCTTGAGGGGAGTGTGTGAGTATCAACTAGGAATAAAAAGAGAGAGCATAATAAACTTTTTAGTTTTTGATAAGTAATTCAGAAAAATAAACAGAAAGCAGAGAAAATCACATTATTAAAACAATCAGAAAAAGAAATAGAATGTCAACAGTAAAACATCTCAGAATTTATAACTTAGTAGTATTATCTTACTTGCCAAAGATATGGAAAGTTGAGAATGATTAAATCTTCAATGGTAAAAAGAGCGAGTGATTTAGAAATAACAGTAAACCTAAATGACAGCAATATTAAGTGCATATTTAATTAACATTTTCAGAGTATTTGTGGCTTTTAAAATCAAGCAATCAAAGCAATTTATGATTTTGAGAATAAAAAAGGCAATTTCGACATACTGAGAATAATCATTATACCAGTGTGGGAAGAAATGCTATTGTTACTTACTGAAAAAAGAAATACTGTTGTTTAAATAATACGCTTTACCCAAAACCTAAAATGAATGATCAATCCAATAAATTAAAAGTGATCCATTAAAGTCCTTTTGTTTTCTGCAGAACTCTTTTGAACTCATCGAAACTTGAAAGTGCCTTAGCAAAACCTTGCCTGACAAGTTAAAACATACATGTCCTATTAAATTTCATCATAATAGAGATATATGACGGAACAAACACTACCAAGAATGCTTAATTTAGGCTCAAAGGCATGTGATGGGGTATTCATGACAAGTTTTATCTTTAACTCAACAAAACTTAATTGATGTCAGAGGCCACACTACCAGCAAACCACATTTAACAGTAAGCTTACTTTAAAAATATCAAAATTGACATAATCCAGTTAGAAAATCTGAAAAAAAAAAAAAAAAAAAAAAAAAAAAAAAAAAAACAACAACAACAACAATTTTATTAGAATCACAGTTTGAAAAAACTCATAAAATTAGTATACAGAGTAAGAATAAAACTTGCAGTGTCTCATAGTCCCAAGTTAACAATGTTCCCATCCACAGCCACATTTGCCCTAAAATTGTCCAATACTGTGGGTACATACTAATTTTCTATTTATATTAGTACGTACCCAAAATCTATTTATATATTATATATGGTTATATAGATAGAGAGAGAGGAAGGGCGGATTCCTGTCTCAATGTTCCTAATAACAGGCAGAATTTATTCCACTTAGGTCTACAGCAGCTGGCATAATTTCTGAATGATTTAAAGAACTCATGGTGATAATATACATATATATATTATATATAGAGAGAGGATTAATTAGCTGATTGAGGTGATTGAACAGGAAAATTAACACAAAGTCGAAAGACAAACAGACATGAACACCAAAGCAAGACAAACAGCCAAATCAAACACCAAATCAAAATTAAAGAAATAGAGTGAGAGTGAGAACTCCGAGTTCACCTGGAGGCTGATCGAGGAGAGCAAGATACTGTCCGAGAGTGTCGTTGTGACTTCGGTCCCAAGGTTCAAACCAATTAGAATTAGTTCATTGCCATCTTGTAGATCCAAAGATAGTCTCTGATTTCCTTAATTCACTTTCAACTGCTAAACAAAAAAATTTATAATGTTGAGTCAATTAAAATGGTCTGCTAAAGAAAACATGGGACAACTTCTTGGAACATGAAAATCTCCACCACTCAACACAATGTATGGATTTAAAATAATATACATAGCACGTAGTAAAAGAAAACGGACAACTTTTTGGAACATGAAAATCCCCATCACTCGACACAATTTGAGAAATGTCACTACCCGGTCCTCAGCAACAATTTCTATTTCAATTTGGTTGATTATAGAAAACTGTTATGAATAGAATCAGCAAATGTAATTATTCTCGCTTTTAATCATTTCAATTGAAGTTCAAATGAAAATTCTGAAAGTCAAATAGAAATTTGAGAAAGATAAACTAACTCTAAATCTTGAAAACATATGCATGTCCAAAATAATAAGTGAATCGGGCTATTCAGATAAGTTCAAATTAGAGTGTACAATAAAAATCCCCTGAAATTTTGCAAATAAAAAGCAATTCCTTCAAATTCAGTTCTATTCCTTAACTTTACTTTTGATTAAGCTCACCTAAGGTTCACCAGAACAGTGTTCAGTCATTACTCAAATGTTCAGTCATTACTCGAATCCAGTATTATTGAACTTGAATACGAATTACTAGTACAGCCACTCATTCAGAATCACCTATATATAACTAATATATATATTACAAAACAAAACTAGGACACTAAACACGCAAAAACAGAATTCCATAACTCCCTATAAACCCTAACATATACAACAAAACACAAAAAGCTTTTAGATCAAATACATTACAAACTACTTCCTCAATGTTCGATACCTTTTTGGAGGGGTTTGAACTGTGAGAGGCGCATAAGCGGAGGTATTGAAATTATGATGATGAAGAACAACATATTGAAGGCAATCGTGAAGAAGATGACGACACATAAAGGCGATTGACGGAGGCGAAATCAATCGATCTCAAAGGCAACTATACAGACAAATGATTGAATCTACATGGAGAGTTAGGGTTTAAAGGTCTTCAAAGTTTTCAAAGCGAAATCGAATGAGATTAATCCCCTTGTTATTCAACTTAATGAAAATTCCCTTCTTAGTAGAGATTAAACATTGTAGCCATGGTAGCAATCAAGTTTGTTGGATGTACCCATTTGAATGAAAATTGTTAAAGCCTGTTAAATAGAAAAAAATGCTATAAATATCTGGGCAACTACCTCATACATTAACTTTGTATAGTGGTTGATTATATTTATGAAAAATAATGCAATTTCTCTATGACTGATTACTGATATATGTGATTACATGCAGGACTAGATTTGCTATTATTAGATGAACCGACAAATCACCTTGATATTGATACCATTGAGTGGCTTGAAGGTTATCTTAATAAGGTCAATGTGCCAATGGCATCATATCTCATGACAGGGCTTTCCTTGACCAGCTGTGCACAAAAATTGTTGAAACTGACATGGGTGTATCCAGACATACATGGGCAATTATTCTGAGAATATTATTGCAAAGGAAGCATGGATTGAAGCTCAAAATGCAGCATGGGAGAAGCAACAGAAGGAAATTGAGCACACACAAGACTTAATACACAGGTTAAGTGTAGGAGCAAATGTCCTACCAAACTATTTTGAGTAGAATCAGGTATGCCACTACCATCGCTGGGTGTTCTTATTTTGGATGATTTTGAGGTCATGATTTAGAGAGAGATATGTAATTAAACTTAATTGAATTAATTAGTTATTTAAATAAATCAATTATTTAAAGCTCACATGGCAAGAAGAATGAGGGAATCAAATTTTGAAGATGAACCATATGGAAGAGAAAATTAGTAGAGCTAGGGTTCCGACCAAACAGATTTAAGGCTTGAATGTAGAGACTATAAGATTATTTATTTAATTGTGGCCCACATGATTTGGACATGTGACATATTACTTGGTGGCTAAGTAAATAGATATTAATTAATATTATTTATTTTTGGTCAACTTATAATTATCTTTTTGGTAATTACTTATTGGAGAAGTGTTTTCCTTTCTTATTCCTTACTTTGATGGAAAGTAGAATTACATTACTAAAAGGAAAAATGATCTTCTCTCTGCCTTTATAAAAGTGCATATACTCCATCAATTATGTACGATTAATGATACAACACGTAAAAGTTTTATGTGTGCAAAAGGTCAAGAGAAAGAAACCAGTTTCCACCTTTGTCTGTTGATCAGAGTTGCAATTTAGTTCGTGGTTAAAGAATCTAGACGTTGGATTTAATCTCAACAAGGTTTTATATCATGTATCAAGGTATTTATATCTAATCATTTACTTATGCATTATAAATACGTGAAAATCATGATTATTAAAGATATGGGATTCATGTAAATTTGTGATTAATGGCTTAATACGAATTATCAAAGTTTACATGTGGTATCAGAGCTAATGTTTAGGAACTCATTATTTTCCTTTAAAGTCACATAAATAAAAGTAAAATTAAATTATTGTATAATATATATGTATGTATCCAAATGTGCTGATGTAGTTGATTCATTTAATAAAGTTTTGTCCACCATTGATTGACTGATATGCTTTTACATCTTTTATGTAAATTATTGTAAAGGAATTTAGTTTTGATTAGTGCCTCAATTTCCGTATATGATATGAATTGAAAAGTGTTTGTTTTGTTTGTTATTTTTTTAATGAAGTCAATCTTTATACCAATTACAGTTTGATGATTACACAGATTATATTTTATTAATTATTTGAAAAT